CCATGTCTAGCTCGCTGCCTTTCATCTTCACCCTCAGCTGAGATACCACTCATTCTCTTCTGAGAAGACTCCCCTGTGGAAGGGACATCTACCTATAGGCACTGCTCAAAAGCTGACCCCTCTCCACCCTGGCTGACTTATCTGCAAATGCCACCCGACTCCAGCTGGTTCCTGTCAGCTTCTCTAATGATGTCTCTTGGAGTACCCCTGAGGATCCTTTTGGTTTTTGTTTATTTGTTTGTTTTGAGATGTACCTCGTTATTTATTGCTATTTTTGATCTTTTTCCAAGCCAGTTCTTTGTTTATTTTTTAAAAGATTTTATTTATTTGAGAGAGAGAGAGAGAGAGTGCACACAGAGGAAGAAATAGACTCCCTGCTGAGCAGAGAGCCCCACGTGGGGCTCAATCCCAGGACCCAGAGATAAGATGCTTAACAGACCGAGCCACCCAGGGGCTCCTGAGGATCCCTTTGTAAACCATTCTCCCTCTTCCAACTCTTCAAGCAAAATGGAAGACTTTGAGATCACTTTAAGGCAGTGGGAATCCCAGTGGATATACCCTTGTCTCCCCACTTCCTAAAAGAAAAGAAAGAACACATCAATGCAAGAGATGAACTTTCTTCTATCGTAAAGATATCCTCTGGGGATGCTCTAAGTGGCTCAGTGGTTGAGTGTCTGCCTTCAGCTCATGGCATGATCCCAGGGCCCTGGCGTCGAGTCGAGTCCCACATCCGGCTCCCCACGGGGAGCCTCCTTCTCCCTCTGCCTGTGTCTCTGCCTCTCTCTCTGCGTCTCTCATGAATAAATAAATAAAATCTTTAAAAAAATGAAGATATCCTCTAATAGTAGCAAAGGCAAGCAAACTTGTGTTTATCACCTCAGCCAGTTTACACTCAGCAGAGACATGACGGCACTCTGGTCTGGTATTAAACTAGGGCAGGCCGAGTGGGAAGGTAGGGGGCTCCTAAGGAAGTGTGAATTCATGGGAAACACCACGGGGAGGAGCATAGACTCAGGCTATATTCTGTTCCATCCCCTGACTGCTCCGTGACTTTAGGCACATCCCCCTTCGGAAAATGAACACACAAACACCTATTTGTAGGGTTTCTGTGAGAACCACACGGTGCCACGGTTTCAGGCCATCTACATTGTCGATACATGTACCTCTTTGCACAGGACGGTGTCTCGGTCATGTGACTCATGGTGAGGGCAGCGTGGAGGGGTGCTCAGTAAACGTTTGTGGAATGAACGGGCAGCAGCACATTCTGGCCAGGGTGGACAGTCCCCCGCAACCTGCCGATGAGGGTCAGTGTCCTGCCATGGCCACAGCACACACAGGCAGGAATCCTGTTGGAACAGGCTGAATTGACCTGGCAGAGATGTCTGTGTTGCTGCCATGTGCCCACCTTCTTAAAATGACAGTCTCTTATTTTACAGCAATCAGAAGAATCACACTATTTAAGGAATCTTTAAAATACTTATAACCGAAGATAAGGAAACTAATAATAGCTGGCAATTCTTGAGTGCTTAACTGTGTATGTGCCAGGTGTTGGCTCACGTACTGAGCATTAGTCCCCACGGCAATCCTATAAGGTTACAGTGTTCCCATGTCCATTCTGGAGATAAGGAAAGGAGGGCATAGAGGTGGGGACCACTTGCCTCTGTCACATGGCCCCTAAGTGGCAGAGATAGGATTCAGACTCAGAATGCTGGACCCCAAAGCCCATACTCCTAAAACCAAATTGTTTAGCATTTTTAGCACGTCAATCATTTCATCCTCCCTTCAGAGAAGTTTTAGAGAGGTGGTCACCTGGACTGCTGGGCACCCAAGTGTCCAAATGGACAAGGCTACTCATGCTCCTGTTTTGGGGACCTGGGGGGGCACCCTAATTGGTAGGAAGCTCTGAGAGGCCCTGTTTCCCTGGCCAGCGCTTCTTCAGCAGAGGCAGCCAGCGTGTGTGTTCAGGGTTAGTGAGCTCCCTCAGCTGGTGGTTTGGGTAGGAAAGTATCCCTCACCTAAAACCTCCGTATTCAGTGGCCAAGTGGGAAGGGGCAGGCACAGTCTACAGACAGGAAGCTGGGAACAGAGGATTAAGAAAACAAGCTTTTGCTAATTTTAAATGTGAGACTCTGTTCTGTCTAGCCTAGATCCTTCTCTGTCTCTTTTTTAAAATGGCCACACTCCTTTTTCTCCCCATTTTCTCCTTCTTTTTAACTTATTTCTTCAATCCCTAAGCCTCAGCTTGCTCACCTATAAAATGAGTTGTTTCCTGTGGGCTCCGTTCACAGCCCTTGAGGAAGAGGAAAGTTTTTCTGTTCCTTGGCTTATTGGCAGAGGCATGTGGCAGGAGTGCAGGTGGGGAAAAGACAAAGGGGTTGGAGAGTTCGAAAGGACCATCTGGCTTTTCATTACAGGCTCCCTGGCCCCACTTCTACTAATTTCAGGGAAGAGGGCTCCTGCAGCCACCTCACCTAACCCCCAATTTTCTGAAGTGTTCTCCAATGGCTTCGTCCAATTCCTCTCCAAAGGCTCTTAGAACCAAGGAGTTGTTTCTGCTTTAGGACAAGAGGGGTCTGCATGCCCGGCCCCAAGGGACACTGAGGAAAAGCCACCACAACACAAGTCTCCCTGGAAGCACCTTGCAGTATAGCTCTGGTCATCCCAGAAGTGCTGTAGGGGGCTCCGACACAGACACCCTACCGGAGGTGAAATACAGAGTGACAAAACAAGAGGAGCCCCCATCTGCATGAAGGCCTTCTCGCTCAAACAGCCACCTGTGTCCAAGCAGGCGAGCAGTTTTAGTCTGGGCTTTTGGCTGGGAGGGGACAAGAGCCTCGCTTCTTTTAGTGTTATTTGTCAGTCAAGTATAAGTGTACCTAAAACAATTGTAAAAGGGAGGGGCACAAGGTACATGTTTGGGAACATAAGATACCCTAAAGACATATTCTATTTGATCTTTAATTTCCCAAGTGTCATTTTTTTCTGTAAGAAAAAAAAATGAGGAAACGTCCCTCAAGGTCTATGAAAAAAGAAACACCATGATTCAGTGAGATAGTAACTTAAGAGATCAAAGACTGGTAGGAGAACCTGGCCTCCAGCTGGTCCAGCGGCTCTGCGGTGAGGCCTGGTCTTTCGCTTATTTTAGAAGTATCTGGGTGACCCACCTTGATTCTCAGGGATATCTGGGCTGAGGAGGACAGGCTTGCCCACTAGGTTGGGGTCCTTGGCTGCTATGCCAGTGGCACCCCACCAACTCAGCTGAGCCCAGCTGTCCTGGCCCCGGTACGGGGGGCATGGCCACAGGCTTACATTTTCTTTGATCAAGTGCCACATGCCGGACATAATTCCTGCTTATTAGTCATTCAAGGCCTTCAAACAAAACAAAACAATCAAACAAAAACCTCACAACGTATTCCATGCAAAAAGTAACCTATTAGGAAAGAGACTTTTAGGTCTGACTTGTGTTAAAAGGGAAAAAAAAAAAAAAGATACTGCTTACACAGGATGCAGACTTCTCCCCTCACCCCTGGAAAAGGTCTGTGTGGGACACTGATCTGGGGAAACCCCCAGAGAAGCCCACCTCTGCTTCCCTGCTCAAGAGGACTACCCAAGAGGGCATCCTCTGGCCAGAGTTCTCTAGCAGAAAGCCTTCCCCAGGCCCCATCTTATTCTCGTGCCCTTCCATCTTCTCATTCCCTTCTGGTCACTGAGCAGACCTCTCTTTGGGGCTGTGGTTTGTGACAGTGTTGCTCAGGCCAGGAAACCAGTGAGTTGTAGAGAAAGGGAAACCAGCTTAGGGCAGACGCCCCCACAGCCCCACCCTCACCCCAGAGGCTGTCCCCAAGACAGGATGTGTGCCTTCCTTTGGGTCGCACAGACGTCTGTCCTTTCTCTGTCCCTTCCCATGAGGTGCAGAAAACCTAACACACTGGGATGACAGCCAGAACCACGGGCCACCGTCTTCGACCAGGCCCACATCCAGGCTCCGGTCCCGAACTGAATCTTGGCGTGCAAACTCTGCAAGAGCGCAGCAGGGCAGCAACAGGGACAGCCCTGGACTGCGATGCCAGACCTCAGAACTGGAGTGGACCCGAGCCAGTGTCATGAACTGTCCACAGAACCTTTTTTTTTTTTTAACATCATGGATCCCCCACAAAGCTCCTAATGACAACTGAACACACTGCTCAGAATAAAGCTCATCTGCCAGCTTCTGGAATCTGCCGAACATTTTTGGCACCCAGGATACTCTGAAGCCACCCATCATCCAAGGCTCCCAAGGTAGAGAAGATCCTGTGTTCTAGTTTGATCCTTCTGTCTTGCAGTTGGAAAAACTGAGGCTCCGGGGAAGGATCCCAACACCCCTAGTGGCAGCACTGGGCTTAGGTCCCTGGGTCTCTGATGTGTGTTCTCCCTGGCTCTACCCGCAGGTTCTCAGAGCACCAGGACCCTCACCCGGCCCACAGGAAAGTGCTGAGCGCGATCTCAGCTCCTCCTCGCACTGAGGGTGAGATGCCCTGAGCAAGTCATGCCCCTGCGTGCCTCAGCTTCCTCACTGGAAAAGTGGACGTGTGCCAGGAAGAGTGCTGCAGCAGCAGCAGAGAGAATTCTCCGAGAAAGCAGCATTCAGTCTACAGCAATGCGATTAGCCACCCCGGAGCCTGGAGGTTCCATCTGGCTGGCTCCCACGTTCCCGTTATTGCACGAACCTCAAAATAAAGAGTGCACTTTGCAGGCGTTTGGAGGACTCCACTTGAAAAGGTTTTGGAGGGCCTTCACGGGGCCTGCGTCGCTGCAGTGACATTTAAGTGCCAACACTTCAAAGCACCGGGCACAGCGACACAACGGGCAGATAGAGCAAATGGCCCGTGATTGTCCTGTTGTTTTGTTACCCTTTATCCCGGGTCACCGTTCCCTCGGGATCCTCGCCCGCCAGCCCGCCAGCCCGCCAGCCCGCCAGCCCGCCCCAGGCGCCTGCCGGGCGCGCACAGCCCGGCGCTCACCTGGTCGCGGCCGGGGAGCCGCTGGGGGACGACGTGGAAGAAGACGCAGAGCGGCAGCGCGGCGAGCGCCGAGTAGCCCCAGATGAGCGCCAGCAGCGCGGCCCTCGCCCGCCGCCCCAGGCCCCGCGTGCCCCGCTGCAGGCGGACGATGCACACCACGCGCTCCAGGCTGACGGCCGCCAGGGTGAGGATGGTGACGCTGCCGCTCAGGCTCATCACGTAGAAGAGCAGGTGGCAGGCGGCCGGGCCCAGCAGCCAGGCCTCGGTCCATCGCACGGCCAGCACGGGCGGGATGGCGCTGGCGAAGAGCAGGTCGGCGCAGAAGAGGTTGAGCACCAGGCAGGCGGTGGTGCCGCGGCGCCGTCGGCGCGCCACCAGCACCAAGGCGCACACGTTGCCCAACAGCGACACCGCGAAGATGAGCGCCAGCGCGCCCGTCTCCACGGCGGTCAGCGCCAGCCGGTGGTCGCCCTTGGCGTCGGAGAAGAAGGGGAAGCGGGTGCGGTTGGCCCGCTCCGGGCTGCGCGGGGACCCGGCGCCCGCCGCCTGCGCGCACTCGGGGGACATGCCCGGCGCCCGGCGGCCCGCAGCCGAGTGGGGCGCGCCTCGGGGAGGCGACCGAGCGCCAAGGCGGGGAAGGGGGAGGGAGGCGGTTGCGACACGTCCCCCGCCCCCCGGGAGCGCCGGCGCCGGGCGTTACGAGCCGAGGCCGGGCGCGCGGGAACGAGGAAGTGCCGGGCTCGCGGCGGCCGGGCGGAGGCTGGCGCCCCCGGGCTCCTGGGGAGCGCCCGCGGGCCGGGAGGACGCACGCGAGAGCCCCGGCAGCCCTGCAGGGCGCCCCGGGTCCCACCGACCTCCGGGGGCCCAGCGTGTGCGACACCCTCAATCCACCGATTTAAGTAAAAATGGATTTCGGAGCGTCGGGGCCGGACTTCGGAGAGCTGCGTGCTTCGGGCTTCATCGGAGAAGCCCCGCGCCCTAGGGGCAGACTCCAAAGCCCTTGGCAATGGGCGCGGGCCTTCTTGGGGGAGAAGGGTCCGTTGTTTTATCTTTGCTTAGCAACAGGTGACCTTAGCTGGATTCTTTTATTTCTCCGTTACCCAGGTTTTTTGTTTTTTGTTTTTTGTTTTTTTTCACCTGTAGAATGCGAATAAGATATCTCCCTGGGTAATCGTGAGGCTCATATGGAGAGATTAACACTTGGCCTCTAGTGATTGCCCCTGAAATGTCATCAGTTATTAGTCACTATAGAAAATGTATGTGAACTTTGCATTCTGAGCAACGATACAAAAATGCTTTCACGTAAAAAGAGTGGGGTCCCAAAAATCTTGAAGAAGCTTGACGCCCCAGAAAGACAGACACGCCAAGATTTTCAGGTATAGCTACAGGCCGGGAATGTGTCTCTGACACCACAATTTGAAAAGCACTGGGCAATCCAGTCCCCATATAGGTAAGGAAACTGAGGCATAGCAATGAGTGGCTTATGCAAGGCGGCTCCTGGTTAATAATAATAGCCAGATCCCCTGCCCCACATCTTTCCACCAAGCTCAGTGTCTAGTTTTCTGTTACACTAAATGAGGCAGTTAGAGAATGAAAAATGTGCTTGTGGCCCTAGACCCAGTGACTACTTCCCTGGTCAGCCACCCTCCCTTGGCCACCCCCACCCCCTCCCTTTGCCATACTACCAGGCCTCTCCCAGTGGTGCATTCTGTCTGTGTATTTATTAAGGATTTGGCTACACCAGCCTGAGGTGCTATCTGGGGAGGAGTCTGCTTATCACTGTGTCATGTGTATCTCAGTTGAGTGTGACCTCTGACCTGAGGAGCAGATTACATGTCAGTGGGAGATGTTCAACTAGAAGCCTGAGGAAATTCAAGTTGTAGGGGCACCTGGGTGGCTCAGTGGTTGAGCATCTGCCTTTGGCTCAGGGCTGATCCTAGGATCCTGGGATTGAGTCCCCCTCCCCCACAGGGAACCTGCTTCTCCCTCTGCCTATGTCTCTGCCTCTTTCTGTGTCTCTCATGAATAAATAAGTAAGATCTTTTTTAAAAAAAAGAAATTCAAGTTGTAAAACAGAACCAGTTAGCTTCCTGACACTGTTGTAAAGAGATTGGTATAAAGGGAATTCATGGGATTTGGCAACTCCCTGGGGTCAGGGTATATTGGTTTGTTGTGCGAGGGAAAAGAGAGCTGTGTGAGTGTGAGGGAGAGAGAGGGTTGGTGAAGGTAGAAGGGTGGATTCCATTATCACAGGTTAGTGTACCATGGGGATGGATAGGTTTCCTCAGAGTGGGAGACCAGGATGGGCTTTCAGGGCTAGAAGGCCTTCTCCATCTTACCCTCTGGGGTTCTTCCAATGGCAAAGTTTCCCACATTTTCTTTCTTTTTTTTTTTTTTAAAGGAGCAGCATTAGCATTGATTAGTGCTCTAATTGGCATTTTATTTTTTTATGATAGTCACACAGAGAGAGAGAGAGAGGTAGAGACACAGGCAGAGGGAGAAGCAGGCTCCATGCACTGGGAGCCCGACATGGGATTCGATCCTGGGTCTCCAGGATCGTGCCCTGGGCCAAAGGCAGGCGCTAAACCGCCGCGCCACCCAGGGATCCCTTTCCCACATTTTCTACTTTTACATTGCCTTCATGGCACACCCAGGCCAAAAGACATACCTAACAGTTTCATTTATTAAGCAGCAGGGTCCAAATGACTTACTAAGACTATATGTCCTAAAAGCTTAGTAACCATCTGGGGGAACAATAAACCTGAATGAAAAAATAGACATAGTGACTTCGTAATGGGATGGGTGTACCTGCTGAGCTCTAAAAAACTGGGAATCAGATTGAACAATGCTACTCTCATTTCCTACTCCACATTGATTGGTTTTTCAGATGTTTGCTTTTTATCACAGTAACCCCTGAAAACTGAGTTAGTGAGCTTAAGGTTGAAACTGTGAACAACCTAGAGCTAATAGTTTATGTGGAGTCCAGTGGATGTTGAGTAGTCCTGTGTTTCTCTGGGCACCCAAGCACACGTAAGCATATGGCTAAGAACACGGGCTTGGAAACTCGCCTGCCAAGATCAGAATCTTGACTGGGATGCCTGGGTGACTCAGTCTGTTAAGCGTCTGCCTTTGGCTCAGGTCCTGATCTCAGGGTCCTGGGGTCAGGCTCCCTACTCATCGGGGAGTCTGCTTCTCTTTCTCTCCCTCTGCCCCTCCCCCTACTCATGCTCTCTCTCTCTCTCTCTCTCTCTCTCTCTCATTTTCCCAAATAAATGAATAAAATCTTTTTTTCCAAAAAAAAAAAAAAAAGATCCTGACTATATAACTCACTAGCTTCTAGTGTCTCAGTCTTCCCATATAGAAAAGGGATATAATAATAGTACTGATCTCTTAGGGTCTTGTGGGGATTAAATGAAGTTCCTACATGTGAAGAACTAGGTACATTAAGTCATCTAGTGCTCAACACTGTTTATGGACTTAAGGACTGAACACACATCCCTATTTGCTGAGACAGTCTCCAGTTATAAAATTATTATTAGAACCCTCTTTCCCTCTCAAATCGCCCTGGTTTGGAGGATAAATTCTGTGGTCATCCTACTTTTATGTTTAACATTGGGTGATCATCAAGTTACCATAGGCACTGAGATTTACTTTTAAGTGGTCTGATTCCAGGGCCTCTACTCTTAACCACCAAAGCAGTGCTTCTTAACTGAGTGAGATTTGAAACACACACACACACACACACACACACACACATACTGTGGCCGCAGAGACATCTGGAGACATTTTTGGTTGTCACCACTTGGGGGTTGCCACTGGCATTCAATGGGTAGGGGAGAGGCCAGGGCTGCTACTTGTAATTGTATAATGCATAAGACAGCCCCATGACAAAGAATTGTCCAGCCCCCAAATGCCAATAGTGTTGAGGTTAAAGATCTCTGTAGCAGAAGCTGTTGCCTCCCCAAACTTTACCTCCTACTGTTGATATCTGTTGTAAACTCCCACCTAGTGGCAAAAGCCAGAAATGGTACTATTTTCCTGGTAGGGGTTTCACAGAAAATTCTGTTATCCCTTTAACCAAACCACAGGTGAGACTCAAATTTGTGCTCTGGTCCCAGATGTGTACAGCTATAAAATATCCTTGGTCCACGGGACAGGATATGAAGTCGTCAGGGTGAATTGACCTAACTAGTTCCTCAGAATCAAGATGGCCGGAAACTAAAGGCTGAGCCCTCATTATAAGAGCTGATTTATTGCTCATGGTCATTAATTACTAATATTACTATAACTTTGTAATATAGTTTGAAATCATGATGCCTCCAGTTTTGTTCTTTTTTTTCGAAAGATTGCTTTAACTACTTGGATCTTTTGTGGTTCCACACAAATTTTAGGATTGTTTGTTTTATTTCTCTGAAAAATGCCATTGAGATTTTGTTAGGGTTTATATTGAATCTGTAGATTCCTTTGAGGAATATGGACATTTTAACAATATTAATTCTTCTAATTCATGAACATGGACTATCTTTCCATTTATTTCTGTCTTTTTCAATTTACTTAATGTCTTATAGTTTTCAGTGTATATGGGTTTTGCACTTCCTTGGTTCAATTTATTCCTAGATATTTGATTCTTTTTCATGCAATTTTTGATGGGATGGTTTTCTTAATTTCTCTTTCTGATATTTCATCATTAGTGCATAAAAACTCAAGAGATTATTATTATTATTTTTAATATTTTATTTATTTATTCATGAGAGACACACAGAGAGAGAGAGGACAGAGACACAGGCAGAGAGAGAAGCAGGCTCCATGCGGGGAGCCCGATGTGGGACTCGATCCTGGGACTCCAGGATCATGCCCTGGGCCAAAGGCAGGCGCTCAACCGCTGAGCCACCCAGGCATCCCTCAAGAAATTATTTTACATTGATTTTGAACCCTGTAACTTTACTGACTTTGTTTATTAATTCTATCACTTATTTTTCGTGAAATCTTCAGGGTGTGCTATATATAAAATACTGTCATCTGCAAATAGTGACAGTTTTACTTCTACCTTTTCAACTTGGATGCCTTTTATTCTTTTTTCTGGCTAGGGCTTCCAATACTATGTTAAATAAAAGTGGCATGAGACTATCTCTGTCTTGTTCCTGGTATTACAGGAAAAGCTTTCAGCTCTTCACCATTGAGGATGATGTTAGCTGTAGGCTTGTCATATATGGCCTTTATTACTTTGAGGTACATTCCCTCTGTATCTGATTTGTTGACAATTTTTATTATAAATGGATGTTGAATTTTGTCATGTGCTTTCTCTGCATCTATTGAGATGATCATATAATTTTTATCCTTCATTTTGTTAATGTGGTATATCATATTGATTGATTTATGGATATTAACCCATCTTTTCATCCCTAGAGTAACTCCCACTTGATCATGTTAAATGATCCTTTTAATTTATTGTTGAATTTGGCTTGCTAATATTTTGTTGAGGATTTTTGCGTCTATGTTCATAGGAATAATGTTCTGCAATTTTCTTTTTTTGTGGTGTCCTTCTCTGGTTTTGGTATCAGGATAATCC